GAAAAAAATTACAGGATTTATATGCCTAAATTTCTCATATGTCATTCATTTTGTGGATGAAAATTATAGCTATTAATTTTTTTTTTATGCCTATACAGTACTTTTGTCTCTTACTCACTGTGTCATAGAGGGAAACAATCTAATACCAGAGTAAGAAGATGAAAGGGGGGTGGGAAATAAAGATAGAGATATAAATGAAATCAGATTTCCATAGTTTTGCTGTTCTCAGAACAAGCTAATAATCTTCCAGCTGTCCATTGATACACAAAATATATGCCTACAACCTCCCTTTTCTATTGTATAGAATATTTCCTGGAATTCTACTGATTTTTTTTATGAGGAATTTAACTGAAATGGTAGTTGGAATATATAGGGCATGAAGCTTCCTTACATATGTACCCGTGAAAGTAAAGGAAAGTATATTCAGAGGGAAGTGTTTGCTAGATAGCATATGTATATGTATGGAAAACAGAATCTCTAATTCTCAACCTCTTTACTAGTATCTTCAATGCAAAACAATCCTTTCCTTTTTTCCTTTTTTCCTTTTTTCCTTTTTTCCTTTTTTCCTTTTTTCCTTTTTTTCCTTTTTTCTATCCCTTTTTCCGTCTTTCCCTTGTTCTCTCTCTTTCCCCTCTTCCCCCTTTTCCTTTCTCTTCCCTTCCCCCTCTCCTCTTTTTTTAACCTTCACAAAACCTTTAGTCTATTACTTATTCAATAGAAATTGAAAAATCTTGCATAATTTTTTATAGTCTTTCCCTGTGGTGGATACTTCCACCTCCAGCATGAAAACTAGGTGGCGAATGGAGTGCACTGTGATTTATGAGACCAAATCAATTATTTTAAGCATAAACTGTGAAGAGCTTCCTTGCAAGTTCAGCCCATCCTTACAAAAAATACTGCAATGGAAAAAAAATGTATTTTATATGTGCTTACAAGAGGTCAGTTAAATTTCCTGTTTCTGGTTGTTAGTATGTGCCTTTGAAACCGAAACAGTAATTTAGTAGAATTCTAGCAAAAAAACACCCTTACAGTCTTCTCTAATTACTCTATTTTGGCCATAATATAATGTAAGTATATTGTAGTCTCACATGTTCTTTACTGTTAGCACTTATGCCTTAGTATTTGATAAAAATTAATTGGCACATGCAGCCCAGTGTTTACACAGCAATAAAAAATCAAAGTGCTATCTGATCAAGGAACAAATTATTAACTCACAATTTTTAACTGATAGGAATCAAAGAGAGAAACTATATGAACAGAATCATTTGAGGATCTCTTATTCCTTCTTTTTCAAGAAACTAGAAAGTTGGTTGACGTAGTGGTTGGCTATTAATACATTAAAATCTAGGGAATTTAACACCTTAGATGAACGGTTCATTTCAGTGGTGTATTTTTATTATCTGACTGTTATATCTTATGGCTTTGAGTTGCAACTGCTTTTGTCATTTAGGACAATTTAAGATGCATTAATTTAGATTACATAATTACATAATCTCCATTTGAAGGTTTGTCTGATTCTAAACATGTTGTTTACCCATATTGTCCAAATGTGTCAATTCTGTAATCTTAAAATAACTTCCTAAACTTTTAAAGAGCAGTAGGAAATTTATTAGAATTATTTTTACTTATAAAAAACAAAAGAGAGAAAAAAGAAAAATAAAAACTCTTGTTGACATTTGTATTGGGTTTCTGGTTCATCACTGCTTTAGGTGTGGTTTAGAATGGGTTTGTTCTGTTGACATTTTGTCAGGTCCAAATAAGTGTAAGTGGAACTTATGCATAGTTTATACCTCAAGCTATCTTTTGACCCAGCCTGTCTTGAAGATAAGATCTATGGCCTAGAATTTATGAAACCTGAGCTCAGGCTAAGGACTTGAATTCTTCTTTGGAAGCTTGTGTTCTGAAACTGTTATGAAGAACTCAGAGGGTAAATTCCTGGCAACTCTGAAAGCATCTGAGTTTTTCATAAAAATTTCAGTGCAGAAAAGCTTTCAGTTGTTTTTTTACACTGTAAATGGAGTATGTATTACAATATGAGTTTAATAAGTTATTTTGCACTTCAAAAATACATATGAAATGGCCTCCTATAAACAATTTCTCTGACATTTTGAGATTGCACTGCAGGTAATTTTTACAAATAAATCTCAAAGACAGCTTCCTGAAACTAAGTAGCACTGCTGATTTCAGCAAAATTTCATAAGGTAGTAAATCAGCATAAACTGAACTTCTTTGTAAGTTGTTTTGGTTTGGTTTTTTTGGTATTTTAGTACTGTGAAGTACCAAGGACAGAGCTATAGAAAAACAGTAGTTCTTCCAAACTAAGGAATGTTCAGTAAATGAGAAAGAAATTATTTTTAGTTTGTTTTGGCTTTTCAGTCTTTGTTGCCTTATGTTTGCTACCTAAAGCTCATGGGGATTTTTGCATTGTTTCAAATTACTTCTAATTAAGGAAAATTGCTTTTATCAGTCAAAAGACAGTTTTGCATACATTATTTCACTTGGAATTTAGGCCTAGCTGTGCTTAGAGTATTCTTTTATCCTTTATTAGTAATCTACCTTACCTTGAGTTTCTCAGCTGATTTTAAGGATGTTTGCAATCTCCCATAAATATAGAATATTCCTTTAAACTTATGCTAATTACTTTCAATTTTGTGGTTTTGGAGCATACACTGCCCTATGAAGGATAAATTTATACCAAACAGCCATCCTCTTGCTTCTAACCTGAAATATCTAATTTTGTCTTTAGCAATATAGGGATGTGCGTGCAAGTTTATTATTCAAATAATTTAATTTCTCTGCATAAGTTCAAAGTATGAATTTCCATAAACTTTACTTTGTCAAACTTAGGGTATTATGTCAATAAATGTGAAGTTTTAAAATTTTCTGTTAGATAAAATCCTCAGTAGGAACTAAAATTTTAATTCTGTAAAGTCTGGGATTGTAGAATTGATTTATATGCAAAGTTTAACTACCCATCCTTGGGTAAAAATGAGTATGAGCAAAGTCCTTCCTTGTCTGTTTTTGTTAGCCTATATAACATCTGAAATTCTGTTCCCTCTGCTTCTGCCTTTTAAGGGTGCTGGCATAAAAATCTCCTTTGCTGAGCTATTAGAGATGAAAAGCACTAAAAGCAGGATACCCCACAAGCCTGTGCTGAACTGTGTTTGAACCTGCCTCAGACAAATTTGCTGCACCAGTTCACGTAGTAGGAAATGAGTCAAGCGTATGGTTCCTCTTCCCTGATAGCCCAGAATGTTTTATAATGCAGGATGTTGAGTTAAAAAGCAAAGAGGATGTGTCTTCTGCTAAGTGCTTGATTATTTTTTTCTCATCTGTGAATGCAAACTTCTTACTAACCTGTTTGGAATTAATCTCTGCTTTTTACAGCTATTTCTTACTTTGTCAAAGAAGCAGATGAAATTTGTATCATACTGTAACCAAAAGTGCCTTGATAAAATCTTGCTGTATTGTGAGACAAGCTCCTGAGGTAACATCCTGAGGTCACTTAGGTGACTGGTGGTGTCCTACAGTGCAGAACTCTTCTCCGAGATTCTGTTAGTGCCCCTATGAAGGTATTTTTGTAAATAAGACTGAGAGCT